TTTCTTTCTTTCTTTCTTTCTTTCTTTTCCTTTTTTTAACCTATTTGTGATCGGTTTTGCCTTTGTGAGCAATTCTCCCTTGATCTATTCCGTTAATGCTATTGCTCCTCTTGATTCTGATTTAGGATATTCCCTTCTCTCCCTATACATTCTCCTCTTTGCCAACCTATTAGCTTGTAGGGCTTCAATTACCATTGAATTACCATCAATTACCATGTTGATGATTCCCAACTTTCTGTGTTAATCTTTTTTCATAGGCTCAAATGTAGTGTGTGGTGTAGGTGGAATAAATGACTGTTTATGTGGTATGACTTGAGAATCAATTATCCAACTTTCTCATTGGTTTTTCCCAGAGTCTGAAATTCTTTCCCACCATTATTCCTTATATTGTCTTAAGGCACCATGACTTCAAATAAAATTAAATTTTAGATAAAAGAGCTGTCTCTTTCCCCTTACAAATAGCAATTGTTATATTATCCCTAATAGAGATCAATACCTTGGGAGACTGCAACAAGATGTGGATATTGTGTTTTGCAGAGACAGAAAGACATACACACCCACATCCCACTGCATTACTTTAACTGATTCTTAACCTTCCAGCCACCATTAACATTTGTGAATTTAGCATTCTAGTGGTTGAATATGTGTGTGTGTGTGTGTGTGTGTGTGTGTGTGTGTGTATCATATGGTCATATTGTATATACTGCATTATATCCTACATTTGAAACAACATATCACAGGTTTTTCCCTATCAGTGTAAAACCAATGGTCTAGTGATATTTCATCTTTTGATGTATAATACAATGTTTAACTCACTCTCCATTGTAAGGCAATTAGGTTACATACACTGTGTTGAATGCCCATGTAGTTGTGTCACTGCATATATCTAAATTATTTCCTTGTTAAAATTTTTATGAAGTAGAACTGCAATGTCAAAGAATATTTCACTTTAATGTATTTTAATATTCAATGCTAAATGAACCTTCAAAATTTCTATCAATTTCAGTCCTAATAAAAGTACCCCTATATCATCATTATTTATAACTTACATGCTATCTCATTTCAATTTATATTTCTTTGATTTCTCATGTAGTTTGGATTTTTAATATACTTGTTTTCCATTTGCTTTCACAGTTTTTGAATAAATTCTTTCTGTTTTATTTGTCTACATGCCCATTACCACTTTTTACTTGCTACTCCATTTCTGGCACCTTAAAATCCAGTCCAATTGCTTCCAATTTTGTCCCTTTCCAGTCCATCCACTGCAGTCATAATACTCTTCTAAAAACATAAATATGAGCATATCACTCCTCTTCTTAAAATGCTTCAGTGGTCCATTATTCTTATTATAAAGGCAAAAGTTTGTAACATGAGGTCCTACAAGGCCCTGCATGACTGTCTCATTCTCCAGTCTTCAGGTAAAAGAGAACACACATACCCACACTGCCGTTGCTTAGCTAACTCCTATTCATCATGTAGGTGATTGCTCAAAATTAACTTCTTCTGGGGAGATTTCCCTTAGATTCCAAGTCCTGAGGGTGACTCCCTTTGCACATTAGTTTTGCTTAAGTATTTGTTGAATGGGTGGGCTGATGGATGGATGGATGGATAGAAGAAAGAAAGATTGGGGAGGCCAGGAAGAGATTTTATGTACCATTATTTTGGCTGAAATTTTACCCTAAGGAGTTATCTCCTTATTCACCAAATCTTAGAAGACTGGCTGTTAAATGTGAGACCTAAAGATTTTACCAAATTGTATTTGATTTGTGTATGTGTGTGTGTATATATATATATATATTAGTTGTACATGGGCACAATACCTTTGTTTTATTTATTTATTTTTATGTGGTGCTGAGGATCGAACCCAGGGCTTCACATGTGCTAGGCGAGCACTCTACCACTGAACCACAATCCCAGCCCCTTGATTTGTTTATATTGATCTGTACTTTATTCCCAAAATATCTCTATTTTCAAAAACATACAAGAGATATTTGTAGATGTGTATGAGGGCATGCCTACATGAGGATATGTATTTGTTCAACTCCCTATCCCCTTATAATTTGTTCCCCATAAAAATTTCCTTTCTTAACTTTCTACATGTGATGCTTCTTCCTTCCACCCTAATCTGCATGTTGTTATGCCAATTTAATATTTCTTTCCAGCCTATCATTTGCATGCAAAAAGATCTTCATTGGCTTTGATTCAGAAGGTCTGATATATAACTTAAATATATGTATTTTGTTAAAAGCCCTTGCCCCCCAGGTAATTCTGATGCAGAAACATGGTTAAGAGTTGCTCAAGTGTAGCCAGGTGAGGTGGCATATGCCTATAATCCCAGTGGCTTGGGAGCCTGAGGCAGGAAGATTACAAATTCAAAGTCAGCCTCAGCAATTTAGTGAGGCCCTAAGCAACCAGTGAGACCCTGTCTCTTAAATAAAATATAAAATAGAGCTATGGATGTTACTCAGTGGTTAAGCACTGCTGAGTTCAATCCCTGGTACAAAAAACAAACAAAAAAAGATTTGCTCAAGTGTGTAAAACATACACCATTTTTTTTTTAAATAAAAGGAATAGTAGAAATGGTTATGGGTACAGAGGTTAAAGTCAGGTGGACAAAGGTTCAATTATATTTTGATCTTTATTCGTTGTGTGATTTGGGGCAAGTTGCTTTGTTTTTTCATTGTGTCAGTTTTCTCACTTGCAAAATAGAAATTGCATCTACTACGTAGGGTTATGGTAAGGAGTAAATTATATAATGCATTAAAGTATATACAAAATGTCCTATATGTATTAAACACTCAATAAATCTTAGTAATTGTATTGTTGTTGCTAGTAATTCAACAATTATTTATTCACCATATTTCCAACACTGTTTTAGGTACCATGGAAAATTAAGAAGTACAAAATATGAACCTCGTTCTTGAGTCTCTTAGAATTAGTTGGAAAAATAAAATTATTGTAGCATATACAATATATAACAATAAAATGAAACATAAATAATATAAAAGATCAAATAAAGGACAGGATTTACAGTAAGGTATTAACCCAGCATGTCATTTTGTTGATTAGCATGAACAAAATAGAGAGGGAGGAAACAATTTCTCAAACTGCTCTTACCAAGCCTTCAGAGGTCTAGTTCTGATGCTGCCTGCCAGATGGAAAATGATGCAGAGGGGAAAAAATCCTGTATTTACTTCTCAAAATTAAGACAGGATGGGGGAGTATGTTTGAGGGGTGAACATATGTGAATAAATATGGTATAACTCTTAATTGGTTCCTGACGATTAAAATTGAAATAGTTTTTGTTGGAAAAGCACAGCTATGATGTTTTCAGTTAACAAATCAAGCCTTACAGTAAGTCATTTATTTTCACCTCGTTAAACCAGAAATCAAACACTGGATGAAGGTTGCAAACCTATGTTGATGTATATTGATGAACTTTTTTTCTTTTTTTTTTTTTCAGGGTCGCTATGGCAACTGCATCTTCTCAAGTTCTGATTCCAGACATCAATTTTAATGATGCCTTTGAAAACTTTGCTTTAGATTTTTCTAGAGAAAAGAAATTGTTGGAGGGGCTAGACTATTTAACAGGTGTGAAATTACTGTGCTTTCCTTCCCATTTTAATTTTTCAATGAGCTTTTAGTTTAAAATAATCTGAAAAGGACAATATTTACAAGTAAATGATTTTGCAATCTTTAAAATGATTGTAAAATATAGAATGTGTCTTAGTTTATATAATTGGAATGAAAAATGATTTGTCAAATATTTCTGGAGTCAGAAAGGGTATACCATCCATACTTAAAGGTAAAACACAAGAAATTGCTGAGTCTATCAGTTATATATTTTTAACTGTTATAAGGGTAAAACATAGGTAAGAATTAGGGAATATTATAGAATGTCCCACATTGTTAAGTCCTACTCAAATGGTTTTAAGGAAACTTAGGAATCAACAGATCAGGAAGAAAATTGTAAGAAATAACTGGCTTGCAGACAACTTTAGAAAATACAGGATACCAAACAAATGTGATCCCTCTTGATCTGTTTTTTTTCTTTAAGCATGAGCTATCTCAGCCTTACTGAGAATTTATCCTCTCTAACATCGGTTTTAGTTACCATGTTTATTTTTTAAATGTTTTGTAAAACATTATATCCAGTCTCAGAGCTATTAGGACTCAGGATTAGTTTTCAAGACATGTTTTGCATATCAGAAACATCTGTCAAAAGTGACAGGGTACAATTGTTAAAATGTCTGAAATAGAGGGTAATAAATGTCTACAAAAAAGAAAATAAGGGATACAGCCTGCCTGTTAAAAATGCTGCTTATATTGAGGGATATTGAATGGTTATTTCCTAAGAAAATATACACACACTAACATTATATTTATAGCTGTTTTGTTAATATATTAACATAGCTATCATTTACTGAACATCTACTTTATACAGACACTGTATATTAATTTTATATAATTAATCCTCACAACAAATCTATAAGGTAATTATCATCCCCATTTACAGATGGGGGAACTCATACTGATTTGCATTTGAATATACTATCAAACATATATAATAAAACTCATTCTGAAATATAAATAAATATGCTAAGAACCATGTAATAAGAAAACCATGTGGCTACTTTGCTCTAATACCTACATATGTGTTTATAGGCAGACCAGACAGCTGGGGTGATCATCATAATAACTTAAGCTTGTATGTTGGCCTAAAATATTTCATCATTGAAATAAAAGTACTTTGGGAGAGCTTAAGTCTCAGCACTGTACTTCAGGCTGCATGGTTCTTGCAATCCTAAGTTTTTCTAAGAAAACGTCTCCATGGATAGGGTGCAGCTCCGTGGTAGTGTTTGCCTAGCATGTCCAAGGCCCTGGGTTGGATCCCCAGCACCACAAAGCAAAACAAAATAATGAAAACTACTCCAAAAGATGTTGGGTTAGGCAGAAAGAGTAAGGATTATAAACTTGGATAAAGGAGAATGTGCTTTCCTTACCGTCTTGTCTACCTTTCCTTACAGCCCCAAACCCACCATCCATCCGAGAAGAACTCTGTACTGCCTCCCATGACACCATTACAGTCCATTGGATCTCGGATGATGAGTTCAGCATCAGCTCCTATGAGCTTCAGTACACCATATTCACTGGCCAGGCTAACTTCATCAGTAAGTCATGGTGTAGTTGGGGCCTGTGGCCAGAGATAAGGAAATGTAAGGAAGCAGTAAGCTGCTCAAGATTGGCCGGGGCGCCACGAGGCAAGTGTTTGTAAGACATGTTAGGTTGTTTAGTATAGTCTTTCATAGACAGTGTAAGCTCCTCAGGGCATTGCAAAAACTTTATTTATGGGTGGACAAGCAAGTTGTGTATTTCCTTGCTGGGCAGTCACTGGGGGCACTCACATTCGTTTATGTAATCTCTAGCCTTTTCTCAACTAATCCATGGCACTCCACTCTCCTAAGGAGAGCTCTGCTCAGCATTTGTTCCTGGACAGTTAAGCTACCATCATCACTGATTCCATGTGTGTGAACATCTCTTTCCCTGACTCTTCTTCCACTTCATTATCATGATAAAATGTTTTGTTCAAAGACTATTACTTCCTTTGGTGTACTGATTTGTATTAGTAAACATGGTGACAAGCCTCCTGCCTCTGTCACTCTTCCCTTTACTCCTTCTCCCTTTCCATGAAAAATTACAGTAAATATAAAAACATGTCAGTGGACCACAAAATGAAAGATGTTATAAAGCAGTTGTTTAGCTCACCTGTTATGATGGTTTCACCTTCTGGCAGAGTAGGAACTTGATTCATCTATTGCCAGTTTACAGGCATTGAACTGAAAATTCCCCTCAATGCACTTGATGGGAGGATAGAAATAAAAGCAATATTAAAGCTGGATTCAAGACTGGGACTGATCCCCACCCTATGGTTGCATCTCCATAGCTGCAAATCAATATTTTTTTAACTTTGTGTTTTTCATTTATGTCTGACTTTACAGGCCAACATGAGAGGAATTTTTCTAACTGATCCCTCATTTTGGACTTCCTTTTCCTATTTTGTGACAATTCTGGGGCAGAATTCTGTTTTGTGACAATAGTGGGGAGGGGATAAAAGAGGACATTTGGGAGTCGAACACTAAAAAACACTTGCCTCGTGCAGCTCCAGCCTAAGCCACTTGGCTCATGTAGCTAAGTTCCTGGATGTTTCTTCAGTGACATACCTTTCTGTACTTGTCTTTCATGTTCTTAGAAAGTCTTAGAGCCAGTATCTGTGCTTCTACTTCCTAATACGGGGAGAACAGTCATTCCCTGAGAGTTGAGAGCAAATTTAAAAATTGACAAAGATCTAAAGGTTGTCACCTTTTGTTTTCAAAGTTATATATTCCTTTGTAAAGAAATATCTGAAGGATAATTCCTAAGAGTGATAGAATTATGACATCTTAGAATTGGAATGGACCTTAGAGGTCTACTCTAATCTTCTCTTCTGCCAGACATCCAGTAAATTATCATCTTGTCTCTGCTTGAACATTGCCAGTGATGGGGAGCTCACTTCTAACAAAATAGCCCAGTTGATTTTTGTATAGCTATAAATAATTATCAGTGCTTCTTTTCTCTTCGTAAATAATAATAACAATAATACTTTCTATGCATATTATCATTGCCATTTATAAATACTCCTACATATATTATTTCATTTGATCCTTATGACTTCTTATTTAGCCATATGAAGTAGATTATATTGATTTTATTTCATACATTTAAAAACTGAGACTCAAGAGAGTTGCCCAAGGTCACAGAGCTACAGAATTATGGAGTCAGGATTGAAAACCAAACCTGTCAGAGTTCAAGCTTAATGCTCCTTGACTTAAACTATATCTACCAGTTAGTAATAGGTCTGGTATTTTGTGCCTTATTAACAAACCTGATCCATCTTTAACATACCAGTTCATCAGATAAATTTAGGTAACTTGTATATGTTCCATCTAAATTTTATCTTTTCTTGGCTAGTTATTTCAGTTGCTCCTCATACAGCATGGTTTTCAGACCCTTTCCCATCCTGATATCCTTTTTATTAACACTCTCCTGTTTGTTAAAGTGGTTTACAAAGTGTGATGTAAAAAGGGTGAATAGCATATCCAAATGTGGTCACCACAAAAGATTGCTGGATTATTTCTCTTGTACATGAGTCACTGTCCTATTGCTCTGTACTCTTACTTTTTGTATTTTGGTGGCCATATTGACTACTGACTTCACTGAGCATATAGTCAACTGAAAACTCTACGAAGTCCAAATCCTATTCCTGTAATTGAGTATCTGAAACTCAACACCTTGCATTTATCTCTATTATATTTTATCTGGAACTCATTCATTGGCACATACCTATAATCCCAGTGACTTGGGAGTTTGAGGCAGGAGGATTGCAAATTCAAGACCAGCTTCAGCAACTTAGCAAGATCCTCAGCAATTTAATGAGACCTTGTCTCAATTTTAAAAAAAAAAAATAGCTGGGGATATGACTCAGTGGTACAGTGCCCCTGGGTTCAATTCCCAGTACCACCATAAGAAAAAAAAAATCTGGTTAGATCTAAACCCTGATTTTCGTATGCCAAGATCCTTTTGAATCCAAATACTTTCCAATACATTTGATTTCCCTACCAGCCTGACTCTTATTTCTTCCATTGAAAGAAAAGTGCAGTAGCACAGGAATAAAGGAAGAGACCCCTGAAGCAAAATTTCTAATTGAAACGGGAAATAATTTTATAAGAAATAAAGATGAAAATTCAAGGGGTAGTAGGGCCTGCCACTGTGGACTGAACTCCAGTTCTGAGAGCTACTTCCCCTTGAGGTTTTTTCATGTTTTCTTTATCCACATGTTTCTTTCTTGATGGTTAAAATTAAGGCTAGAAAAGTAGTTCTCCCTGTTTTTCAACTTCCTTCCTTCCTTTTAAACCATCTTTCCACCTCTTGTTAGATTTGCAATCATGACCAATACTGTTTCAGATGATCGTGTTAGCTGAATGAGAATTCCAACAGATGTTAGTCTTCCCAATTATTCTTTTTTCTTTCCTCGTCTCAGTTTTGTATTTTGCATTACAAAAGCAATGTTCATAACCTGTGACTGACTAGGCAGTCTATAACATACTACCACAAAGATATAACTTTTATTTTCCCTCCTTTTCTTTCCCGTGCAAATGCTCTCTACTATTCATTTACACTAAGGTTCATAGAATTCCACATTGTGGTGTTTCCCTTTTGAACAAGAGATAAACTTCTGTTTCTATAGTTCAGTCATAAGTCCCATCTCATCACATCTCAGTGATAGTTAGAGGATCATATATTCATCCAATTAAATTTAGAAATAATTTCAAAATTACAGAACAGTTCAAGACTAGCACAAAAAAATGCCCATGTACTCATCACCCACATTAACCTGTTGTTAATATTTTTCCCCATTTCCTTTGTCATTTGAAACATTCTATTTTTGGATTTATTTATTTTTCTCTGCATTTTTATTGGTGCATTATAGTTGCATATATTAATGGGGTTTGTTGTGCCATGTTCATACAGGCACACAATTCTCTTTTTTTTTCAGAACTGTTTGAGAGTAAATTGCATACATCATAGTCTTTCACCCCTAAAGTCTTCAGTGGGTGTTTCCTAAGAATAAGGACATTCTCTTACATAATCATAGTACAGTTATCAACTTTGAGAAATTTAACACTGAGGCAACACTTCTATTTAAACCATCATTCATATTCCAATTTTGACAATTAACCCCAAAATGTTCATTATAATTTATAAAGAACCCAATATTGTCCTTTATAGTCTAGGATCAGGTAATGCATTTAATTATCATTTCTCTTTTTTTAATATATGTATTTTTTAGTTGTTGTTGGACCTTTCTTTTGTTTTATATGTGGTGCTGAGGATCAAACCCAGTGCCTCACACATGCTAGGCAAGTGCATGCTGAGCCAACAACATCATTTCTCTTTAGCTTCCTTTAGTCTGGAACATTTCCTCAGCCCTTCCTTGTCTTTAATGATACTTACTTTTTTTGTAAATATTTTATTGGTTCTTTTTAGTTATATGTGACAATAGAATATACTATGGCATAATTATAAAAGCATGGAATGTAATTTGTTCTAATTCAGTCCCCTTTTAATTTCTTTATTATACTGTTCCTCATTTTAATGTTTCCTCACAATTATTTTTGGGTCACACATTCATGGATGGAATACTATATAAGGGATGTTATGTCCCCAGAGTGTCATATCTAGAGGCACATGATGCTGACTTGCCCTTTATTGGTTTTTTTTTTTTTTGCCCTTTATTGTTGATACTGCTTTTGATCACCTAGTCAAGATATCTTCTGGTTTCTTCACCATGCCATTTATGTTTTTCTTTTGCTACTAATAAGCAATCTTTTAAATCTGTTGATCATTAAAATGTTCTGCTACAACATCAAACCCATCTCACCTCACACCTGTTTTAGCATCAATTGATTTTTGTCTTATCCATTCTTTACTATGATGATAGCAAGATGATGATTCTCCAGCTGAGTATTCCCTCCCACAATTACAAGTTAGCACTCATATTTCTATTGTAAGCAAGAGCCCTACCCCTTGTACCCCCTCATTTGTTTGTTTACTTACCAGTATGGACTCATGAATTCTCCATAATCAATAATTTATAATTCTTTACTGCCCTTATTTATTTTGGTGCTCAATTTGTCCAGCTCTGGCCACTAGTAATCTTTCAGGATGACTTCTGAGTCTTATATTCATTCTCCCATCATTTTCATGAGGACTTCCTTACTTTCTGTCATTAAAAAAATGTTCTAGGCTTGGGGCTGGGGCTGTAACTCAGTGGAAGAGCACTTGCCTAGCATGTGTGAGGCACTGGGTTTGATCCTTAGCACCATATAAAAATAAACAAATAAAATAAAGGTATGCTGTCCATTTAAAACTACAAAATATTTTTTTCAAAAATGTTCTAATTTTGAACTTATCCTGTCCTAGCCTTGAAATCAGCCATTTTGTTCAATCAGCCTTGGTTTCTTTTAGTGGGAGAAGTAGAGACCAAGATCTGGTTATTAGGTATACACCTATGTAAGCATATGCATATACCTATAATATACATACATATATACTCTGTGTGCACACCTATATGCCCATACAAAAACATATGTAATCATCCCTTGGTATCCAGGTAAAATTGGTTCCATGATCTCCTAAGAATACCGAACTATACATATGTTTAAGTCCCTTATATAAAATCATATAATGTTTGCATATAACCTACACACATCCTCCTGTTATACTCTGAATCATTCCTAGATTACTTATAATACCTAAAGAAATATAAATGCTATATAAATAGTTATGGTATTGTTTTGGAAATAACGACAAGGAAAAAAATCTGTACATGTCCAGTACAGATGCAGTTTTTAAACATTTTGGACATGTAGTTAGTTGTTTCTTTAGACAGAGAACTTGAAGATAAGGAGGGCTGATCTATATATTTTAGAAGTCATTCAGTCACATCAGTGTCAATTCCAATCCATCCCCATGAGTTCTTTCTCACCTTCCCTCATTCCATATTTATATGTTCCTTCTTCCATAGTGGGAACCTTGTCTCCCAACAACATCAATATATATATATATATATATACTTATTTACTCAATATCATATCTAAAATACTTTCAGAGTTGCTCTGCTCATATGTCTACAAACAGAAACCACCTAACAATGATTCAAGGGTCTGCTTGTAGTTCTACCATCCCCATTGCTGTGGTGTGATTATTATTTATTGGAAATTCAGTTGTCATTAGTTCCAGTCTAATTTTCAGTCTTTTCCCATCCTTGCTGATTTAACTCAAAAAGATATACTCAAAGAAGTATCATTTCCTCCCATGTCCTTTTAAGACTTTTTTTTTAGTTGTAAATAGATACAATACCTTGTTTTAATTATTTATTTTTATGGGGTGATGAGGATAGAACCCAGTGCCTCACACATGAGAAACAAGTGCTCTACCACTGAGCTACAACCCCAGGCCATTCTCCCATGTCCATTTAATCCTCTTCCTCCATCCTCATCCTTTCAGGATAACTAACTTCATTATTTTGGGGGTTATCTTTCCTATTGCTATTATTGTTGTTTTGCAAATACAAGACACTTTATTATGTTCTCACTTTAATTTTTCTCTCAAAAGTGTGGCATACTATAGATGCTTTTGTTTAACTTTTTACAATTCATCATATATCCTGGAAATCACCCTATATTAACTCATAGAGATCATACATATTCTTTTTCTGCAGATATATAATACTTAATTTTGAAGTTTTTTTTTTATTTTTGGAAGTGTATCTAGAAGATCATATAATTTCCTCTTTGTGTTAAAATTTTATGTGCACTTTTTGATTCACATGTGTATTGGTACATAGATATGCAGGGTCTCAAATAATATTCCTGACTGTTATCCTTATTGTCTTTTCATAAGAATCACCAGTGCCTCCATGTACTTATTCTTTATACAACATAGGTTTGCTTCCTATTATGTTTCTTTTTCTAGTTTTAATTTAGGCTTTTTCAACCTTCCCCCAAATGAATTATAAAACCCTTTTGATCAGATCTCTTGCAAAACACTCATGACTTATTATTTCCAATTTCCAACCTCAGTACATCCTTTACTAGAGCTGCATAGAAGTGACCAAATCCATTACTCATTTTCCTTGCCCTTTCCATCATCTGGTAGAACTGTGGTTAAAAAGTGGTAAGCTGACTGAAAAAAGAGATAACAGCAGAGGGAAATCTAGATAACCCGTAGACTAGAATGTAGGTTCTTCTTTTACTGAAAGCTAGTCAAATATATATTTTTAATTATGTATATCCCCCTTTTTTAGTCAATGTTTATAGTCTAAAAGACCTTCAAAGTCAGAAGTCTGGATCTCTGATTTCTTTCCATACTTTGGAGGGGAAAAGGTTCCAGATGATAATGTGTTCCTAGACTATCCAACCCCAGAGAAGTATGAGAATCAGCCAGGAAGGGACAAAAATGTACAGTGTCAGACTGAGATGATATCTTATTTTGATTATCATGTAATCTCATTGACTTCTCTGACACTTTGAAACCCAGCAAGATTGGTACATGTGAAGATGGGTACTAAAGAGGAATCATAAACCCTGAAAGCCTCGTAAGCTTACAGAGACAAACACTGTCCTTAACTCCATTAAATGTGATGTAGTGGAGAGATTACTAGACTGGGATTAAAAGATTCTACTTAGCACTCTCATCAAAAATCTATGACCTCAGGCATGTCTTCTCTGCATTCTAGTTTCCCATTTGTAAAATGAGGGAAATTCAATGTCTAGGTGTCCCTTATGCTTTGAGTTTTCATGTTTCTGTGCTCTGCACAGGACTGCTCCACCCATGAAAGGCCAGATTCAGCCTGTAGAGGAATGGGCACTTGGGGTAAAGATCCAGTGACTCCATAAGAATGATGGTTCTGTGTATTTGGCATAATGGTCATTCCTGAGTTATTTGGCAAAAAAATGAAATAACCTAACTTTTGTTAGTGGTTACAAGTCAAGAACGTGGCATAAGCCTAGCTCTGTGGGACTAAAAAATAGTGGAATCATAAGCTCTTGTTCATTTCATTTTGTTGTCCAGGACTCAAAAGAAAATGAATTCACTTTGGGGGGGCTTATGATTGAATTTTCAGTGTTCTTTTCATCTTCTCTTTAGAACCTGTTGATTGATGTCCTTGTCTTTTCTCACTTTACAGGCCTGTATAACTCAGTGGATAGCTGGATGATTGTTCCCAACATTAAACAGAACCATTACACAGTGCATGGACTTCAGAGTGGAACACGCTACATCTTCATTGTTAAAGCCATAAACCAGGCAGGCAGCCGGAACAGTGAACCTACCCGACTAAAAACTAACAGTATGTTGTGATTCTAAAAGGAAAGATCCATTTTCTTCTCCCCAGGAAGGATAACCCTAGCAGGCACCCACAATAGTGTGTGAGAGCAGCGGCACTGTGTAGAGGAGCTTTACTCTTGTAATTTGTGTTTTGAACAAGAGGTTTGTTGGTGTCTATGGGAAATTTGTGGACAGAGAGATACATAAAATAGCTGATTGTTTGGGAGAATGTAACTGAAACATTTTTCTCTGCTTTTTCCTGCCCCCATGCTTGGTGGAAAATTGAGAGAAAGACCATTATTTGTGATTATGCAGCAAACCTCTACTGCAGAGAAGCCATATCTGTTAGGAATGCTTTTGACCACAAATAATAGAAAATGTAACTAACTTAGCTTAACCAGTAGTATTTGTTAGTAACTCAAACAAATAGTTTTTTATTCTTTTGAATGCACAATGAGTGTAACTCTTCATCATGTACAAACACAAGAATGTTATCAAAATTGTAATGGGTTGCACTCCATGTGTGTATAATATGTCAAAATACACCCTACTGTCATGTATTTCTAAAAATAAAAGCAACAACAAAAAAGAAGTTTGAAGGTAGGCAATTCAGGGCTGGAGCAGCAGCTCTGCAGTATCATAAATGGCACTGGTACCTTCTCCTTTTGTGCATTGGCTTATTGCCATGTGATCACAAAATGGCTACTCCAGATATCTTATTTCTTTTAAAGATAGGAAGACAGAATTAAACCATTGGTACACATGATGACTATCTCTTCTATCAGGAAAATAGAAAACTTCCCAGAAGTTTCTACCCCTCTGACTTTAGTTCCATCTCATTAGCCACCTTTGGCAGCAAAGGAGGATAGGAGATTGGGTAAAAGAGAATAAATAGGGAATGAGAATTGGGCCAGCCAATAGTGTCTGTCACAGAAGCATTTTAATAATAAAGATTTTGCCATACCCAGCAACTGGCCTCTGATAACAATGCTTTGGTCGTATAGTTATAAAGAATTCTCTGTGGTGAATGATCCTTACACAATAAATGTTTTCTCTCATCACTGATGATGCACTGTCACTCAAAGATGCCTAATGATATTTTGTTTACATTCCAATTTAATGAGAGCAAAAACTTATTCTTTTGCTGAGTTCTTTTCAGGTTTGTCTTCTGTTTTTGCCACCAAACAGCAATTGCCTTATAGGTACTCCTCACTTTGTCCCCCTCAAATATCATGATACTCCTTCTCTTACAATCTACCTGAATTTCAAACCACCCACTGAAATAAAGCAAAGTACAAAACATATTTGAGGACAGAAGCCTTAGAGACATCCCTTTTAATTTGATAATATATTCTAGTGGGAAGCTGACTAGCTCTCATATACTTAGAATATGATTTCAGGAAAATACTCATATGAGAGATCCAATTTTTTCCTGCAGTGGTGAAATAAATGCCTTTAGAAGATAATTTTGTTGGGGATTGGCCTCTATTCTTATTTAATTGAAAATGTGGCTTCTGATCTGCCTCCTTAATATAGTCTAAACAGCAGCCAACTTGCACTGACCAAAGAATGATCATTATATCAAGGCTCCACTGCTATTGATGGTCCTGGAAGACAAAAGTAAAATTCTTAAAAGCTTCATCATGCTTTTTCTCTTTTCAATTTTTTCAGGCCAGCCCTTTAAACTAGATCCTAAAATGACTCATAAGAAGTTGAAGATCTCCAATGATGGATTGCAGATGGAGAAGGATGAAAGCTCTCTGAAGAAAAGTCATACCCCAGAGAGGTTTAGTGGCACAGGGTGCTATGGGGCTGCAGGAAATATATTCATTGATAGTGGCTGCCACTATTGGGAGGTGGTCATGGGTTCTTCAACATGGTGAGTGGATCCAATTTTTCTTTTTTCTTATTCCCTCTCTTTTTAAATCCCTGGGGATTCAATTTTATAGCATAACCATAATATCAATAAGACATGGTTTAAAAGTATGTGATGAAAATCAGTCCTAGACAAAATTTCCATTTTTAATAAGATTAAAATTTCCCAGAAGTTTCTACACCTCTGATTTTAGTTCCATCTCATTAGCCACCTTTGGCAGCAAGGGAGGATAGGAGATTGGGTAAAAGAGAATAAATAGGGAGATGGAAATGACTACATAGCTCTAATTGCTAACTTTTCAAAGTTCTATTGATATTAGCATTTTGTAACTATTGAAGGCAAAAACATGTATTCTACTTCTTATATGTCCTATATGGTGTCTAGAACAACTCATATAATTTATGAATGTGTATTTCTCTCTCCTTTCCATTGTTTCACAGGTATGCAATTGGTATTGCCTATAAATCAGCTCCAAAGAATGAATGGATTGGCAAGAATGCATCTTCATGGGTCTTCTCTCGCTGCAATAGTAACTTTGTAGTGAGACATAACAACAAGGAAATGCTAGTGGACGTGCCCCCACAGTTGAAGCGTCTAGGTGTCCTCCTGGATTATGACAACAACATGCTGTCTTTCTATGACCCAGCTAACTCTCTCCATCTTCATACCTTTGATGTGACCTTCATTCTTCCAGTGTGTCCAACATTTACAATCTGGAACAAATCCCTAATGATCCTGTCTGGCTTGCCTGCCCCAGATTTTATTGATTACCCTGAGCGGCAGGAATGCAACTGTAGGCCTCAAGAATCCCCTTATGTTTCTGGGATGAAAGCTTGCCATTAAATTTCAAGAGAGCATATAATTCACTGGCTCTCCTGTTCAGCAGTTCTTCCCCTCAGTTAGTGTTCAATATACAAGATAAAAATAAAATTCATCTGAAGCATACAAAATAACTAGATATTGTAGAGTTAATTTTTGTGCATTAAAGCTTGTATTTGAATCAGTGTAATTGAGTTCCTCAGAACAAATTATCTAAATAGTCTGGGTTCAAGCCATTGAAGATGAAATTTAGAGAAAGCCTCTGTTGTCAATGGACAATTAAAAATTCCCAGTGATTTAAGAGTTTAAATTATATTGGAAGGAATTAGGGTAATTCTAGATAATAATGTAGAAAGATACTCTGAACAAGGATCTAGCCAGCCAGAATAGGGTATGGTTGTCAGCCTTTCTAGTACTGGCCAGTTTGGCCAAGTAGAATTTTGAACAGTGTCAATTGATCACATATTGTATGTCTCTTTTAATAAAAACCTACAAGCAATGCTTCACTACAAAGAAAACATGGGTGTATATATAATATATAAAATAATCAAATTCATTTTATATATTATATTTACAAAATAAAAGTTTTAATTTGCACATTTGAGTGATAAATATACTGGAAGGAAAAATAAATTACACCATTCATTTTTTCCCTAAAATAAACCACAGAATCAATCAGCATTTCTCCCCTCCCCCTTCCAACTCTTCCTTCCCTCCTCTTGTCACACACACACACATAATAGATGCAATCATTGACATAGACAGTGAGAAGCACTCTTGGTTCGATTAAGAGAGACTTGAGGAGAACACTGTACAAGAGATGCTATTGCTAGATAGAAAACTGATCCAGGTGGAAGTGTCCTATGTGGCACAATTTCATGGATGATACTTAATAGAGGAGATCCATCTGAATTGTTAAAAATTATATCAGAATATTACAAAGAAATATGGTTTCATCATTCACACATATATACAGTTCCCAGAATTAGGCCAAAACAGTTGTATAATGCAGCTTCTGTAGAAACTTGCTTTACTTAATCAGTAAGGAAGGAACTGTATAGATGCAACAACTATTTGCATATAAATATACTGTTTTCAGATTTTAAAAAACCCCAAAACTTCTGAAGTGCTCAAATGCCTGAGAATAGTTTGTTATTGTTAAATGAGGTTAAATACTATTTCCATTTGCAATCTTCTTCACACTATTCATTTACTTAACCATCTTTTCAAATGCAGACATTAATTTCATCCTCATCAGCAAAGTTGAAGGGAAATGAACTTCATGGTCTATGATTTTTGCCAGTTGTATTGCAGAGACTAAGAGCTATCAGATTCATAGCTTTCTCCTTTTCCAGGAGCTAAGTCTTCCCCAAGGAGTCTATTCTTTGGGAATTGTGATAATACTGTTTTGCAATTATGAAGTGATAGCTATAGCTACAATCACTTGTAGATTGGAGCCTTAAAGTAATGTCAAAACTCTGCTCCTCTTCCTTTCCTTCAGCATGGTAAATGCTCATTTATTAATTTGTTAAATAAACTATTAGATGCCAGGTAACACACTACTGCCCTGAGAATGCACATATTAAGAAAACAGTTCTTGCTCTCAAATGGCTTATGATTCTGCATAAGAGAAAGAGTATCTCTATAAATATCACCCAATTACAGATATTGTTTACCCAACATGGAAAGCAAGACTGATGCAGATATAAAAGGAAGGCTCAAATTTATACATGTAATGGTAAAGTCAGCGGCTTTAAAGACCGTATGGACTTACTGCTAATCAGGAAATGAGCAACCCCAGTAAGATTAAGTAGTGCTGGCAAGCAGCTTACTGTAATGGAAAGCCTTTGGGTTATAATTTTGGATTAGAATAATCCTAGTTTCTCTGCTATTTACTAGTAGTGTGATCAAGGGTAGGCATTTCACTTCTCCAAGCCTTTGTTTTCTTTTCTGTAAAATAATACTTCACAGGCTGTTTCAAAGATTTCAAAAGATAGCAAGTGGGGGCTGGGGCTGTAGCTCAGTGGTAGAGCACTTGCCTAGCATGTGTGAGACACTGGGTTCCATCCTCAGCACCACATGAAAATAAATAAAGATATTGTGTCCATCTACAATAAAAAATAATAAAAAAGATTGCATGTGGAAACTGCCTAGCACAGCACCTGGCATTTAGTAAGTGTGTCATATATATTAATCTCCTTCTCAAAGCCTTTTACTGCCCTGGGACAATAATTTTTCCACCCTACTTTTGACTCAACCTGGATTAAATTTCTCCACCTCTCACTCTCTCAACCAGACTAACACCTGATCTCCTAACTGAGTTATGGGCCCCTCTTTGGAACCCACATGGCACTCTAAGTATCCCCTCCCTGAGCAATAATCACAGTGTATAGCAATGTTTTTCAAAATGTGGTCTTCAGAACACTTATGTTAGGATTACCTTCCATGATTTGTTTGTTAAAACAATCGATTTCTGGACCCCGCATAATTAGACTATTGGAAACAGGCGGAAATGTACATTTTTGTCAAGCTCCTCAGGTTATTCTAATGCACATGAAAGTTTAATGTATAATAATTATCTTCCCTATTAGACTGGGAATGCCTTGAGGGCAAGGACTTTGTCTTCTTGTTGTTGTTGTTGTTGTTGTGTTTTTAATACTTGGCACAGTGTCTGGAACAGAATAGTTGCCTGTCTAATGTTTGTTGAACAAATGTATGAATGAACAAATGAACAAGCAAAATTTATCTCTTGTACTCTGATGATCAGGGTGGTATTTGTTACTAACTGGGCAGAAAAGTTTGGTTACTTCTCCATTTTGTCTGTATTGATATTATTTTGAAAATGCAATAGGGCTCATACATATAAATGAGCATTGTTCTCCTCAAATACACTTTGGCAGTCATCTTGGGGAATTGTCTTTGGAACATGTGACACAATTCTTTTCAATAACACTTCAATTTTTTTCACTTTGTTCTTTGAAGGTATGTTTAAGTTGATTATAGGCTAAAATCACTCGGAACTAAGCCTACTAAATAAACTGGGAAGTGAAACAGTTTGAGTTAAGCAATGAAGTTTGACTGTAAAGTCCCAACTTCTGAGCCAAATAATGAAGTGACTTCCAAGATACAGCAAAGTTGCAAAGCACACAATAGGGATTCCTCAAGTCCCACATATTGACTTTAGTAAACTTAAGACTTTCGTAGAATCCTGGCAGTGCCAGGAACCATAAGAGAAGCCATTGGCTGTCTCTAGCTTAACCCAGTTGCACAAGGGGAATAGAATCTGTATTTAACATCTTCAAGGAAGGTGACTTCATAAACTTTTTTTGTTGCTTTACTCAATCTATTCTCCACAGCTCTTTCTGCTAGAAAATTATTTTCTGTCTGTAGTTTATGCTTTTTTTCACTTTTTATATTGTCTTCTTGAAGAAAGCACAAAAATAAAGTTTAGCCTGTTTGAGAATATGAAAGAAATTTTAATGCCACATAGAGGTTCTGGCTATTTACCTATAAGTAAGAGTAACTGCATCTGGCTGTATTTTTATTATGTCATTCCATTGTGTATCTTTAGATGCAGTGAAATTCCAATTGCAGCAAAATCACTTATACATTCTTTTCAGCAAATATACTCTAGGCGAATTTTTTAAGCTTCCATGGTTTACATATTTATATATGATGACTACCTGGATGGAGCAATCCATGGATGGACTTTTGAATTAGCTCAAATATTTGATACCCTTTCTTCCAAGAAATAGAGAAAGTGAGGCAGGTAGATATGAACCACACCCACACTTATTTCTAGCTCCTGAAGCCAATTTCAGCCTTAGAGCCATTGGCTGTATTTGGCTGTGTATTACAAGTTGGCCAGACATTGCCATCAGGTCGGGAAAAGCTGCCCTTTATGGTGTGGTCTGCCGGCTTCAGACATATGCTGTGTTAATGTTATTGGCTAGAATATTTATTAGACTCTTGTTGGACTATTTTTTATCAAATGCTTTATCCCAGGCTTGTTTGTACTGGGAGTTCTGGACCAATAGTGTCTCTCCCAGTGAAACAAATATGAGCATCTGTGAATTAAACACAGTCTCATCCCTCTCTGAAATATCCCAGCCCATCCAAAATGCTATATTATGAATTAAATAAATATATATGTATTCATGAGTTCTTGGCTGTCTGTCACTGGAATTTAATTGGGGGAGGACTAAATGAACAATTATGGGTTACTGGAATTGGGTAAGTGACTTGGGGGAAAACACTCATAATATGTAGAGATCTGTGCAGAGAGGGGTCTAGGAGGTCTGGAACTCAGGATCCAATAATGAAGACTTTTATTTTAGGAGCAGTATACAGTCACCTCCAAGGAAATAAAGATATAAAGTCCAAAGAAATATGACACATCCAGTTTCAGGAAATGGAATGGAAGTTAGGAACTACAGGAGAACAAGTAAGTCCCTAGTGCCAGAACTCATTGGTTAAGGTCAGAGTAGGACCAGAAGCCAGTGAGCTAACTTATTGTTAAATAATTGCTTTATAAGAGGAGCCTAGGAATGGTAGGCAGTACCTCAGGGTTGGTATTTAAAAGAAATTTTAATGCCACATAGTAATTAATCAGATTTGATGTTGCCCTGAGACTAAAAGTCCATGCAATGTGAAGCAAACAGGGCAGTCAAGTAGGGAGTTAGAGTAGTGACTTGAAACGAGGTCAGACCAAGGGCCTACAGAAGTATAGCCCAAAGGCAAGAGGATTAAAATATAAAGGAAAAAAACCATAAAGGAGACAAGAATTTGGAGTATTAGGGAATAATTGGTCTAATTGGTAATCTGGAGAAATGCCAGATATGAGGCCACTGTCCACAGCTGTTTTAGTCAGCTTTTTAGCTGCTATGACTAAAGGACCCTTCTAGAACAATTGTAGAGAAAGAACTGTTTATTTAGGGCTCATGATTACAGAGATTTCAGTCCACAGAAGTCCAACTCCATTCCTAGGGACTCCAGGTGAGGGTGAACATCATGGTGAAAGAGTGTGGCAGAGGGAAGCAGCTCACATCACGATAATTAGGAAGTGGAGAGAGAAACTCCACTTTCTAGATACAAATATATACCCAAAGCCACGCCCCAATTCCTGCATCCCCCAGCCACTCATTACCACTTCAGTTACCACTCAGTTCATTGCTACCAGGGGATTAATTCACTGATTGCGTTAAGACTTTCACAACCCATTCACTTGTCCTCTGAACCTTCTTGTATTGTCTCACACGTAAGCATTTGGGGGCACACCTAACATCTGAACTGTTAGGTGCAGGACAGGCTGAGTAAGTTGTCTGCAGGGCATGCCAAACAAAGTTAGCTGCAGGATGACCTGGCCACTGAAACCCTCTGTCTGGTTCTTTATCACCTGTTTGCTTCAAGCCCAAACGCCCAAGCCCCTGCTCAAGGCTGAACCATAGCCCGCTGCTCAAGGCCGAGCACTTAACCCCCTTATGCCAACAAGGCAGGTTGCAGACCCAGAGACCCCATTAGATTTGGGCTATAAAAACTCCTTCCTGCCGGGCCCCTCTCTCTTGCTCTCTCTGTCCTCTTGCTCTCTCTCTCTTGCTATCTCTCTTGCTTTCTCTGTCTCTCTCTTGTTCTCTCTCTTCTCTTCTCTTTCTCTCTTTTCTCCTCTGTTGCACTGCTGTAATAAAGATCTCTTGGTGCTCCAAGTGTTATGGTCACTTTCCTTTCATGAACCATAATAACAGTGAAGGTTTTCAGGTGTTTTTTTTTTTTTTTTTTGGTCTATGAATGTGTGATGTGATGTTTGGAAAGACCATCTCTGTTCAATGTGCCAGAACAAAGAAAGGAATCTTATACGCTATGTAGGAAAAGAGTTGGCCCCAGAATCTCAGTGAAGCAGAGCCCATAGGTGGGGATGAGGGGGTCTCAGTTACAAATGTTAGGAGTAACAGAGATCAAGAAAGTTCTGTAGATACAGGGGGTATATATAGCATGATAGTTAATGAGAACGAGTCCTCCACTGTGAATTTGCAGGAGTGGAGAAGGAAGTGATCTTATAAATGCAGGGCACAATGCACAAATTATAGTTGTGACTGATCTGGCCTGATTCAAGAAGCATTTATTGACCACTCATTATATTCCTAGCACTCTTCATTTCAGTGAGGGGATCCTAAGATGAAAAATATTGTGAACACTCATATTAGAGCACCCAAATCAATAATTCTCAAATACTGTTAGGTGTCTGAACTCAGTGAGTTATTGATAATTGAGAAAGGAGCATTTAATGGAGACATAGGGACAAAAGTGGAAGCTCTTATTAGTACCTACTATGGAGACTTGTTCCTAGTAAATTTTTAGTGAATGCTGGTAAAATAGAAACAGAACCTGATCAGCAGACTAACAAGCAGGAGTCACCATCACCACTTATATAATTCCCCCCTGCCATGTACTCCTGACCCAGCATTCCTGTAAATGTGTATTTTGGTTATTCTTTAGGGCCAGGCTTCTTCAAAGAGAACAGTTAGAAGAATATATGAATTAGTTATCAATAATGTGCTAATGAAGAAGTGTGGGCAAAATACATACCCCTACCAACTACTTACTCTACCTCTTCCTTTTCATAAATGTTAACAAGGACCTTTTAAAGACACACTTTCATTGTCATCTAGGGGTAACAAGGTGGGGAGGGCAAGCTCTGAGCTTTCAGATTTATAAGGGTCAACAGACAATGTATTGGAAGACTTGTAGGGAACATATTGTGAGCCAAGAAGAATCCTTCAAATACTGGAATATAGATGCCAACTCTACTTTCTGTAAGGTTGGCCTCATATAGAGAATGCAAAGAGAATCTGTTACTCCTCCAGACAAATTGAAAGTCCCAGAAAATGGACTGATTTTCCCTTTGATGTACAGGGGCAGGAAAAAGCCATTATGAGCTACACCTTTTTTGTCCAGCTCAACTCCCTTTGTAACAAAGGAGGGTGCTATACCAGAATGTGAAATTCACAGCAAGCAACTATCAGGCACATAAGGCAAGGCCAAATTCAAGGCCTGGCTGATTCAACAAGTAAAGATAAAATGAATCACTTTTAGATTTGTTGCATTTATTATTAACAGATGGTTGTTAACATAGTGAAACAGACAGCACCAGAAGTTCCAGTTTCTATGGGTGCTTCTCCCAAACACAAGAAAGGATGACTTTGGGGCCAGAGGACTACCATGTGAAGTGTGGGATACATCCCATGCTGAGAAGGCAATTCTATACTGCAGCTAAATGGCTATATATTTTGTAGTCCTGTTCTGAGGAAAATGGGTCAGGAAGCCTTGTACCTCATCAGAACCTAGATGGTGGGAGGTGATGAAAAACTGACTCACACAGCCTCCCAGGGGAGATAAGGAGACAAGTGGTGATGGCTTTGAAGCATCTCCTCTCAGGCTAGCCATACTCTTGTGCTCTGGGAAAGGATCACAGGCACTCTGACAAGACTAGTTGTGTGTGGTTCAAGCCTTTGTCTGCCAGACCTATGTGAATAGTGTAACATCTCCAAAGTGCCAGAGTGAAGTCCTTCTACAGAGGCTTCCCGAAGTTTCAAATAACTTTCCTGGGGGTGGGGGAAAGCAAAAGGAAGTAAGTCAGGGTCTAGTGAGAAACCTCCTTTCTCTGTCCCTTCTGGTGACCTTCCATTTATGTCCTTCCCTTCTTCTCAGCTTCTTTGGTATAGAGGGTGGACATGGTTCAGGGATTAAAGGAATAATGGGAGAATAAAAAAAATACAGGTCTCGCAATATTCAGTACGAAGGCCAGAGAATCCCAAGGCCCAAAACCTTTGCTACCTCTAGTCCTTATTTTTTTAATTAATTTTTTTAATTTCAGTTATACATGACAGTAGAATTTATTTTGGCAGATTATACATACATAAAGTATGACTTACTTTATTTAAGTTCCCACTCTTGTGGTTGTACATGATTTGGAGTTACCCTGGTCATGTAAACAAATACAAGGCTAGGAAAGTTATGGCCAGTTAATTCTACTATCTTTCTTATTCCTCTTCCCCTCCCTTCCCTTCATTTCCCTTTGTTTAATCCATTGGATTTCTATTATTCCCCTCCCCAGCCTCCCTTGTTTGGGGTTAGCTTAAGTTTTTTAAATTATCAATTGAAGTATATGGGTAATTTACAAGGTCTCTGCTAGCCCTAACTGGATTTCCATGAATGCAAATTTAGTGAATGTAGTGATAGAAGCTAAATCTGTATACCTGCCCAAGAATGTTGGGACATTAAAATAGATCACAGGGAATCCTAATGACTACAACAAAGAGGCAGATGACATACCTTTACTTTAGTGGGTATGGAGGATTCACTTTTGAAGTGACTATCCTCCCCCATACCCACTTCACTTCACTTGGAACTCCAATCTCTCCCACTTATATTTGCACCTTTAGTTTTAGTTTTTCACTTCAGACCTTTCCCCTTATCCTGCTTTACTCACTGATAGTACAAGATGCAAATACTGCTCTAGATAGCCATGTCTCAGTTTCAACTTTCACAATCTTCCATGTGTCTGTGTAGGAAATTGCTAAAGCTATTCCATATTCCAAGAGTAGAACAGGTCTTTTGATATAGCAACCAACAGGGTCCTTTGCACCACCTTCCCAATCATTGCCTTTCTCCTACCCCTCCACCAAATTTCCACAAATACACACCTTATCTGACTGAGAAAGAGGGTCTTGGTCTAGCCATTAGCCCAAATTATCATTCAACCATCTATTTATTGATTCATTCAACAAATTATTTGTCTATAGTCCCTTTGTGTTAGGTGCTGGAGTTCAGTAATAAACATGTCTACATAGTCCCTGCCCTGATAAAACTCATAATCTAACGAGGCAGAGATACACGAATAAGCACTTTTCTAATCATAAGAGCTATCATTAATTGATTGGTTATACTGTGCCTGACAGTATGCTAAGCTCTTGGGATGCAGTGATTCATTTAATCCATTCAGCAAGCATATGTAATAAAGACTATTATTACCTCCCTAGAACAAGAATAGTTAATCCCTACATCCTGTGCCTAGACCAGCAGAGAGACACCTGGCAACTGCAGGCAAGGGTGTTAGCCATAATTGCCTTTGGCATGGAGTATCAAGTTTAAGAAGAAAATCATCT